CTAAGCGCTCCCCTCCGCTGCCTCTATCTGTCACGCGGTCACATGGACTGCAGCAGATATCGTCTCCCCCAGGGCCCTTAGGAGCTGCAACCGAGCAGCAATGGTTCTGCATCATCTGACCTCCCCACCTGTCTCTAGCGGCCCTGAGCACAGCTGCTCAAGGCCCTCGGGCTGGTGGTGGGCGGAAGAGGTCTTTCCCAAGTTGCAGCATTTCTTGTTGTAATTTGTGCTGCAGCAAGGCAGCCCCATGCACAAGCATCCCTAAGTCCCCTTGCGGAACTATATTGCCACCGTCTTCGTCAGACGCTTCCTTTTCCTCCCGAAGACAACAGAACAAAAGCAAATGAGGATGCATGCCCTCCGCACCGAAAGGTTCTGCTGCTGCAAGAGGCCTAATTAAACACAGCCCCAGAGCAGCTTCTTAAATGGTAGCAAATGAGCTGCCGATAGGCTATATATACTATATATATATGAAAGCTTCATGCCGCACACCAGGCCTGCTGGTCTGGGCTGCGGCACCTGCCAACACACGCCGCCTTGTGACTCATATCCAGCAGTGTGCCTAAACCTAACTGCCCTTACGGAGTCACCCCGACTCGGATAAGATAAGGGCTTAACGCTGATGCTTCAGGAATTGGTGGCTGTGGGTCAAACTTTAGTAGGTAGCTGCGGCCGAAGCGTAACACCGGACCATCCCTAACCAGATTGAAGCGTACAGCGGCTGCAGCTGCTGCTGCAGCCGCCGCAGCTGCTATAGCTGCTGCAGTTGCTGCCGCATTCATAAGTTGAGTAGCAGCCACTGAAGGAAGTCGGCAACCCCACGGCTGCTAGGGCAGCGGCGTCCGGATTGGCTTCCAGCCCTGTGTTTGCGGGTGTTGCCGCTTTTGCTGTTGGCGTGCTCCCGAGTGCACCAGCAGCTGCAGCTCTCTGCTCTTCCTTCTTATGCTTCTTCAGCTCTTGCTCCCTCTAAAGTTCTTCTGGGAGTCGCTTGACCCTTTCAAATTCATCTTTCGCCTCCGCAGCCCTCCCTTCGGCTCCTGCGCCGCCCGCAAGGGCCTTGAATCTCCGTGACGTTCCCTGGGCGCCTCCTCCCTGCTGCTGCTGCTGCTGCTGCTTTACACGCGCATCTGCCTTTGTCTTTGGGTGTGGGGTTCCAACCCAGTTCCCACCGTCTGCCGCGCTGCCTGCAACCTGGCATTAATCCTAGCCAAGGGCACCCGCTCTAAGCGCATACTCATTCCAGTGTACATACACCAGCGACGCAACAGCAGAGAGCAACGGCAGCAATACGTGCTGCAGCAAATAAAGCAGCCACGGCTCTCCAATAAAAATATAGTAGACATAGAGAAGAAAGTCCCTGAAGACACAAATGAGCTGCACATACACCTGGGGACAGCCCGGCATGCAAACAAACGCACAAAAGAATACCCACCAAGAAGCTGGTTGTGGTTGCGGCGGCTAATATGATCCAAATAGGCTTGTGAGTCCTTGCACAACCACTCGCAAATGTCGCACCAGAGCCTGCAAGCAGCGCCAACACAACAATGCTGCGGATGCTGCAGCTGCTGCTATTCCTGCTGTTGCGCTTCCTGCTGCTCTAGCTGCAGCTGTAGCAGCTGTTGTTGCCGTTCCTGCTGCAGCTGTTGCTCGTTCGTTTGGAAATGAGGAGATACAAAATGCGCAGTCACTTCAGTACACAACACAGCAGCAGCAGCAGCAGCATGGTCATCAACGGCAGCATCAGCAGCAGCAGCAGCAGCGAGACGGCTTGTAGTTGGATGAGCGCATGTATGGCGATATTAACAGCAGCACAAGCAAGTTCACCCGCGTGAGCCCCGTCAACAGCTATGGCAGCAGCAAAAGGAGTACAACCCAGATAATACTAAACAACAGCAGCACGAAGCCAAACAGCCTAGCACTGACACGCCCCAACCAACAACAACAAAGGCAGCAAGAGCTCCTGCAGCAACAAGCGCAGCAGCAGCAGCAGGAGCAGCAGCAGAACGTACCCGCCCTACTGCATCCTGGGGCTCTGCAGGGTGACCATTTTCGTGCGGCTGGCTTCTCTCTCGAAGCCGAGTTTAAATGTGAGCACCTGAAGCTGCTTCCGGTAGCCGCACGGCGGCAGCGGCGGCGGTTTGGGCTCCTCTCTGGGTTTTAGTAGCAACTCTAGAAGAGATTCAACTCCCAGCAACGAAGCCTTTTCCTTCGCTTTCTCTTCGTAGTAGTCCTTGTCCCACACCTGCACCAGAAGCAGCGGCACCAGCAGCAGGTTCAGCGCAGCTGAGCGCGTCCCCTGCTGCTGCAGAAGCAGCAACTGCTGTTGCAGCGGAAACACCTGCAAATGGGGAGGTAAACTCAAGCAACAAGTACTGTTGGGAAAGCAGCAGCAAACGCTGCAGCATCTGCTGCAGCAATCGATACGTGCAACAGTACATCAGGCAACGGAAAACAAAAAACAGCAGCAACGGCAGCTGTAGCAAGCATGAATGCAACCAACCACCAACACTCCCCAGAGCAGCCCCAACTGCCGACACCCGCTGCTCCTTCTCCTGCCGCTATTGCTGCTGCTGCTTCTCCCGCCCCTACTGCTGCTGCTGTCGCTGCTTCTGCTGCTCTCGTTGTGCATTTGGTTGGCGTCTCACCCTGCGTCCTAAGGTGTCCGTTGCCCTTTGGGAACCCAACCGGTCAGGCTCGAGTTTCTGATAGGGGTATTGCTGAGCCGCTGATGCTGCTTGACCTGCGGCAGTACTGCCGCAGCCCTATCCCCCAGTGATGACAGCCATACGCTGCGGACCTGCAGCAACGCCATTCGTGGCATTCATCGACTAAAGCCTAAACCCTAAAACCCTAAACCCTAAGACCCTA